GGCTTCCCCGATTCAGCTGCTGGTCAGTTTCAGCAGCAGCTGAATGGGGGAAGCCTGTCCGGCTGCCCCAGCACTTCCGGGTTCCTGATGGTGCCGGACCATCAGGAGTCCCGGAGCATTGGATGCCGGACTGATGGAGTTTTACTGTATTTGTTCTTTATAACTAGAACATCTTAGTGAGGTTATTTTAATTGCACATATCTGTATTTAGAATTTGGTCTGTAGCTAAATGGAGTCTTGTCTGAGAAGAAGCCAATGATTTGCTTCCTTTTCATGTCTTAACAGGAAGCAAATGAGACTAAGGGAATGTTTAGTTTACATGTAAACATATTTTGAAGCTGCACCAAAATATTTTGATAAAATTACTGTATCTTGAAATAAGGAACAAAATTAACCAGTTTGTCTTCAACCTCAATGCACAACATCTCTTAGCCAATTTTTGAAGCCATAATCATTATTATAGAGATAACTAGTATGACCCTTCTTTCAAAAGTGTCAGATGTGTGAGATTAACTTGCCTTGTATTAAAAGACTCAAGCAAGGGAAAAACACTTTTAAATGAGTTTCCCAATTTGGAAAATATCAGAAAATATTTTCTTTTTCAAAAGGCTACTTGCAGTATTTCTTATTTATTTAATATTTGGTTAGCTAGAAATGTCTCTCTTAAACAGGTGGGACTTTGGCTTTAAATGCACGTTGGCAATCAGGAAAAATAACAAACACAAATGTTATTACAAAAAGTCAGCTTTACTGGCCTCTACCACAACAGATAAGCTCTTTTAAACAAGCATTCAGTGCTTCAAGTGAATTTTGGTTCTCACAAGCTGTGCCCGACTTTGAAATCTTTATTTCACAGATGGCAGGTACTGCGTGAACAATGATACTTCATTGTGGTGAAGCTCTTGATAATGTGCCCTGAACCCTTTAAGCTGGGACTGTCTCAGAGGGAGAGAGGGTAATTCAGTTTTCATGTCGATTTAATCCTTTACCCCTCTGATGAGACTGCTACCAAGGGTGCCATTTATGATAGTGGATAACTGGCCACATCACAGAACACTCTAAGACCACCAACTCATCCCATAAGCCATTGAACAGCTGTCAACAGCATCTACTTTCAGACACTACCAAGATTAGCTATGTTTGAACTAGTGACCTGAAGATGAAAGTCTCTACATCCCACTTTCAATTTGAAACCAACCAGTTGGTTTCCATTCAAGCTTCTCCTTCCTAAAGGAATGTCAAATATTTTTTTAAATCATATATTGAACAGCTCCAAAATATGTCAAAATATAAATTAAACAGCTAATTTTTTTTCATTCTCACTAATTGTTTGGTTACTGACTTTATACTGCAGTTTAAAATATGGTGTTCAGCTTTGGTTTCATTGTTGTTTTATAAAATATCATGCTAGTAACTTCTCATGGGTTTTTTAAGCTGCTGGTATTATTGAGTTTGGAGTGGGGAGGAAATCTCAAAAGTCTCTGTTTGTGATTCAGCCAAGTTTGTCCTTCTGATTTCTGAATTAAGTAATAGGGAGACAAGTTATTATTGAGAGTCTTTTTTTTTCCAGTCTTTGTTTTTTGAGCTTAGTGAAACTAATAATATCATGCTTATTGAGCATTTTGTTTATTAAGTTTCTAGTACATTGAGGCAGTTGCTTTTGACATTTCTGGTAGAAGCTGAAGAACAGCTGTTGTTGAGTCTTTCCTGACTACAGAGAGATTGTGAATATCAAATTTGCTCTTGCTTGTGAACACTGTAAAGGCCAGATCCTCAGTTGGTATAAATTGGTGTTGAAGTCAATAGATTTACACGGACACACCAGCTGAGGGTCTGACCCTCTTCTGTTTTAACAATGACAAGGCACTCCCTATTTCTTGCCCAGAATTATCCTGCAATGTGTGTGTGTCTCACCCTTCTCTTGCTCCATCCTTCTCCTAGTCTAGAAGAGAAGAGGTATTGAATGACTTAGAAAAATGTTAATGGGTAGGATAAACAGCCTTTGAACAAGGCAGCCTGTTGAAATTCATCTCAGGTTAGCAGTTACTGAAAGTTGCCATCCAGTAGTTATGTGGTCCATGTGATATGAGTTTGATGGTCTTCGTAGCTCCCACTGGACTTCTGGATCTGTCACAAAAAGCCACTAAACCCGTGGTGTCCAACACGTTAGCCACTAGTCACGTGTGGCTAATTTGGCCAGTTGAGTGTGGCTATTTGACTTGAACCGTGTGGCTATTTGGCCAGTTCAGTCTGACTAGTTCTCTATAGGAGTAGCCATTATAGTGGCTACTGCTTCAGAACTGGTTGGACCACAATACTACACTAATTTGTGTCCATCTTAGTTTCAACAGAGGTAAGGACTGAATTGCTATGGAGAAAAGTAGTCAGGGTTAAGTCATGTTAGCAGGATAATGTTGGAAGCTTCTACCACCCCTAGACATACTCTATCTGTTCTGTAGATAAGCGGAAGACTTGAAGGCTTTTGACAATTATCTAGACTTTTAAATATATTATTTCCCTTTCCTTCTGCTTGCAACTGTTAAAGGTACCTTACCTTTCATCAAGATGACAAAGATTTCCTTTGTCCTTTGAGATGTATTCATCTCTTTGCCACTAGAATTTGTGCCCCAATGTCATACTCATTGTCACAAAGTTGTCCAAATATGTCATTACTGTAGTGCAATCAGCCACTAGCACTTTAGGGTAATTAAGTAACTCTTGGTTCCATGGTCTACCCAGTGCTTTCACAGACTGATATTCTTAAAAGAGTTAAACTGTGAATTGTATTTTAAGTCAGCTTTGGAACTATAGGAGAAAGAGGTGTGTGTGTACACACACACACACACACACACACACACACACACACACACACACAACTTCACATGTTGATGTGCCCCCCCATAGACAAATTAAAACTATCTAAATGTATAAGGGACCATGTTTCAAGGAATAAGCCCATCATTAACTCTGTCGGTTTTGGAAGAAACTTCCCAATATTGGCAAGGAATTGGGTTCCTTGTACCTTCTGATGCCTCCAGTACAGATACAGGCTACTGGACTGGATGACCCATTGATCTAATACAGTGTGACAATTCCTTTGTGGTTGTGAAGTAATGTTAATTGTAAACATAACTTTTAGTGCAAAATCTATAATACTCTCTTATGCCTGTCACTCACCATTGTTGGTAGTTCTAAATATTGTCTCCATCTTGAATTCTGAATTCTCTGGAACAGTACAGCATGCCACACTCAAACACGTGTATCTTTTGTTGTAGTATGGCAAACTTAAAGATTGAACTATCTAAATTAGATAGTGAAACCTGGCCTGGGGCACTGGATATTGAGAAGGAAAAACTGATGCTGATCAATGAAAAGGAAGAGCTTTTAAAAGAACTCCAATTTGTTACACCACGGAAACGCACTCAAGATGAGTTAGAGCACCTGGAAGCAGAAAGAAAGAGGCTGGAAGAAGAACTGCTATCTGTGAAAAGCACTCCTAGTCAAGCACTTGCTGAGAGGTACATTTTTATCTTTTACTAGTATTAAGTACTATTACCTATAGTTTAAACTTTGTACTCATTACAGGTCTGTGCTGTGCCTCAATGGCCCATTTTTCCATTAGCAACTGTTCTGTGTAGATTGTAATTACATTTTTTGGACACTAACACAGAGGATCCTTTTGGATCATGAGAGGAAACACACCCTTTGTAAATGTTCTACAGCAACAGTGAGCAACCAAGGCTAGTGAGTGACTGCATGAGTGTCCCTCCTTCATGTCAGTGTGCCTATATTAACAGAACTGCCATTAACTTCAAATAATAAAAAAAATTACACTTTCTTTACACTATCAAATCCCTACCTGACCTTCCCCTCCCCCCCAGTACTCCCATCCCTGCTACTCTTCCTCCCTCTCAGCACTTCCAGAGTTCCATGAATCAGTCAATTCATAGCGTTCAAGCTCAGAGAGGAAGGGGGAGGAGTCGGGATAGGGCACAAATCAGCTGATTCATGTTGCTCTGGAAGTGCAGGAAGGGCAGGGGAGGAATAGATAAAGGTGGGGCCTCCAGTGTGCAAGAATGGGGGTAGGAGGCAGAGCGGATGGGCAGACTGCAAATGGAACCCCGATGGGCCACAGGCTGCCCACTACTGCTCTACAGTATAGGTTGCTCTGCATTTGTTATCAACATGAATGCCTATGTCAGAAGTTGGATAGCTGAGGAATGTGAACAGGCCATCCAAAGTGCAGTACATCATTCACTGGTGTCAGCTAATATCTGTAAGCCATTTGAAGTCTGGCTATTTGTTGCAACATCTGGAATATTTCACTGTGGGTTTTATTACACAAACAATGCAGAAGTTTTACTGCTTTTAGTTCAGAAGAAGAGGACAGTTGCTACAGAACTTCTCTAATTTGCATTAGTAACTAAGACACCCACTGAATTTTGCCAGCTATTTGAAAGAGCTTGACAAATTAATGGAGATTCTGTCACAAAATATGACTTCACGTTAAGCAATAGTGAATGTAAATAATTTTTATTGGGGATCATTTCTAGTGTGTTAATAAATGTATTGTAGTATTTCCATAGAAATAAAAAAATCAGTATAGCACTCTGTCAAAAGTCTGATCTTTTTAATGGGACTCTGAACATGAATGGTAAATGGGACCTAGATTGATTTGAGTCCTAAATCATTGATTAGGGAGGAGACTGCCCGTTTGTGTGTGCAAATTATCTAAATTGTATGTTAACAAAGGATGGATTAAGCAAGGTTTGTTTACGCCCTTTTTAATGCTTCAAGTTGTGCTTTCTTTCAATTATCCACAGAAGCAAGTGAGGCATGATTTCAGCCTTCATGAAAGTATTGATTTTTTTTTTTCCTCTTGACTTCTAGGAAAGGAAGATTTGATTTGACATTTTAAAATTTTGAAACTTTTTCTTTGTAAAATTCACCCTTCAGTGGAGAAAGCAGGCAAAGATACATGTGCTGCACTCAGGAAGTCTGTGTTTAGAAAGGAACAGGACTGGGTTTGAGGATAGGACATAAGGAAACTTGTGGGAAGGAGCTGGCAGGACAAACAAGGCTATTTGGAAGGAAGTCAGGCAGAGCGGAATTACCTCAGAAGAGAGCCAGCATGTCGGGTGTATTCAGTAATATACGCGGTCTCAAGAATAATTCACAAATCATGTAGGAATCTAGAAGTAGGTGGAGCCATACAAATATAAAAATGTGCTGGAATAAAACTAAATTTCCAAGGAAGAAATAAGCTAGCTGTGCTGTTAATCTTTGATTAAATTAGCAGAGATCTGTTGCCCAATAACATCCATTGATCAAGTAATGAGCAGAGAAAAAGAATAAATCACATTTATATTAAATTAAAGAGAGTAAACCACAGGTTTGATAAATAGGCTAACAAGTAACTAGATCTTTGTTCATACGCTATGATTTAGAAGTTGATTTTTTGAACTAGATCTTTGTTCTTACGCTATGATTTAGAAGTTGATTTTTTTATCTGAGTTTGCATGTTTGTCACTAAAGATAATTATGTACTTGTATATGTGTGTATATATAAGATAGTCCTAATTTACATAAATATGATGAAAGTGTAAGTTACATTTTCTTCCACTGTCAAGAAGAGATGTGATGATGATATTTTCCAGGACTCCTGTTTACTATATGACTGTCTGGTGACCCATTCTGGAGTGGCTTTTCCCTCTGTCCCTCCACAAACTGTCCTCTAACTAGAATGGCAGAATGCTGTGTCTCTTCTGAGGCTGTCAGCAGTTCTGGTATGATCCTCTACCTTCTTACCAGCAATTGGTTCTGGAAAATTACAGTGACTCATGCTTAGTTGCTTGAACATTATAATGAATCACAACCTATAACCTTTATAACTTAATAATTAAATTCCATTCCTCCAAAGTACATAGGCTCTTTTCACAGTAACCTTGATTTGTTGTGACTCTTGCTGACTCGGGGTATTCTAAATTTTGTAAAAAGATTCCAAGGTGAACCTTTTCCTGAATTTTTAAAATCTCTTTTAATTAATGGTCAAACCGTGGAATGTTGTTTCCTGGAGGACAAACGAATCACCCCCGCAGTGATTATGTGAGCAGCCAGTTCATAAAACCCATCTTTCTTCCCTCAGCAAATGGCAGTGTTGCTGCATCACAGTCTTCTTTTATAGTCTTCAGTGAATATGGTAGGCTTCTTTGTGGTTCGAATGAGTACTTCAACTGTGATTGCTATAATGAAGCAACACTTTAGAAAGCAGCACATCCTATCAGAATTTGACAAAAATAGTAAGAAAAAGATGTCTGAACCAAAAGATTTCCTGTGTAAATCCAAGTTTCACAGTGTAGCCCACGAATATTTGGGAGAAGGTAGAAACTGACATGAATAGCTGTATTCACAGACGACGGACAAAAGTGAGTAAAGATCATAATATAGTAGATTTAAAAAAAAAACTAGTCAAAGCCTGTCCTGACAACTTTGAGGAGCCTCCCATACTGTCACACATAAATAACATTCAGTTTTTCCTAGTTACGGAACTATCTAAAAGGCCACCTGCTGTCTCTCCTGGTTTCCATTTATGGTAGTGAGTTCCTTTATTTCTTTGGCCTTAGGAAAGATCCCCTGATCAATTGCAGACTTTCTAGTCTTTGAGAGAGTTAACATCTAGTGAATTTGAAGATTTTTGTGTCATTATCCTTTCATTATTGCATCCAAAATGGTAGTGTAGTTTTATGTTTGCCATCTACAACTATGTCCAGATCATGTTGAGAGAAAGTGAGATAAGAGGCAGAAGAAGTGAAGTGCATTACAAGGTCTCACCCACTCACTTAGAAAACTTTCTCTTGTTAAGAAACTTGCCCCTAAGCTTAGAAAAAGGGCTGATGTGTTTTAGTATATTCTTCAAGTGCTTGCCCATGTTAATTCCATTCTAGGTATGTTGTTTTTCAATTGCACAGTTGTCAGAGATTTTGCCTTAGCAGTGTCCGTAGGGTCAGCTGTGAAATCCCCTTGGGTGCCATGCCCATGCGCTGGTATGTAGCTGCTGCTGACCCTGTACTCGCTCAGTTCCTTCTTACAACGCATGGTAGGTTGAAGTGTCTTGTCTTGCAATTGCAAGAAAATTAGCAGTTCTTCAACAGCTCATTGTCTGTCTTTGTTGTATATCGTTTAGATACTTAAAGGTTAACTAAGGTTAAGTTTTAGGTAGCTTAGTAATTAAAGTCCTGATTGGGACAGCCCAGCTTCAAACCATGCTCATCGTGCAAACGAACAATGCCTATAGTGACCCCTCTCACCCCCACTCACACACACAGTTCTCTGAAGTGCTTTGGGGCATCCCATAGGGAAGATGCAGAATCTGTAAGAACTTTCACCCTAGAACCCTAAAGGAGCAGGATAGCCGCTTGAGGGCCCTCCTCAGGGAGACTCTGCTTTGTCCCAAATCAAAGTCTTCCTGTTCAGATCCCACACTGAGCATCAGGGCGGGGTGCACCACTAGCACTAGCCTCCACCCTTCACCAGTGGGGAAGAAGGGACAAAAGATCCCGTAGCACTGGAAGGGAAGGGGGCCTAGGGCAAAGGACCTGTGTTAGGCCATATGCCTACCCTGGGGCTTCACAGGGATATAGCTGAGGTTGGACCTCCCAGCTTGGCCACAGATTCAACTCCAGGAAGCAGCAGGGGACCCCAGATTCTTCTAGGGCCCTCATTGCTCAGCATAGCTCTGGCAGCTAAAGAACAAGCAGGGCAATTGTTATCACAGACACTGTACTAGGCACCAGACTCAGCTAAGGCCCGGACCACTTCATACGGCAGTGGACCAGCTTTGGTCCCCAATCTACAGGCTCAGATCCTTATCTTCATGGTCTAGGACCCCAGTACTGCATTTCCAGTCTCCAGTCAGCATGCCCAGGTCCCCAATGCCATAGTCTCTCCCTACAAGGCATGGGACACTGGAGTCAAGACAGCAGTCCCTGGACCACCAATACTGGCGAGCTTCCTGTAAAAAATTGTCATAGCACAAGTCCGCCTTCTCCTGTCTCCCAGATGTCCGTCCCCTGGGACTGCTCCCAGTCACAGCATCCATCTCCATCTCAGCCCCTGTTCCACACATCGAGCAGGCACCAATCCTTGCTAGTCACCAGCCTGGGCCAGTTGGCAGACTCAGGCCTCAGCAGCTCTGTCCTGGTCACCACAAGGGAAGTGTTCAGCCCCTTGTCAAGGAGGGGTGATTCACTGCCAGTCTGAGTGAATCTGGCATGGCACAGAAACAGTGGCCTGTTCAGTGGCCACACTGAAACCAGTGGAGCATGCCTGTAACGCCAGTCCTCCCTGGCTGCGAGGGAAAAACCACCCCTAGCACCAGCATCAGAACATATTTCTGAATTCAGTGCAGGAGCAGCATATATGACTCTAGCACCTCAGAAGCCATTCCTGAGAAGGCAGGGGAACCTGTCCCTACCCTGGCAGTGCACTTGTCATTGTTGTCGTCTCCAGACAAGACAGTGGTGAGTCCCTCCCAAATGGGCAGTTCCCCGAGTGACTTCAAGGAACACTACGCCCTCCTTAAACTGGTGACTGGTGGCTGGCAGCTTGAACTTAAAAATGGAGGTGGTCGTGGAAGAGTCTGACAATCTCTTTAGCATTATGTCCTCCTCTATCCCAGCTCGGGTAACGCTGCCCGTCCACCCAGAGGTCCTTAAGGTTGCCAAAATGCTATGGCAGACCCCCTCTTCAATTCCACCTACTTCGAAGAAGATGGAAAAGAAGTATTACATCCCTGTGAAGGGTTGAATACTTGGATTGTAAACACACTACAACAGTGTCACTGGTCATATCTACCCTTAATGAAAAGGACAGGAAGGGGCAAGTCTTTGTTTTTTGGCATGCATTGATGCTAAGAAACTGGATTTGTTTGACAAAGATTTATTTGACAGCAGGCAGGCAATTTTGGGGGCCTAACCACCAGGCCCTGCTAGGCAGGTACAATTTAACCAGTGGGACTCCCTTAACAAATTCAAGGAGGCTTTCCCACAGAACTGAGCCCCAGAGTTTGCCACTTTGGTGGACAAAGGCACAGAGATGACAAGGGGAGCCCGTCAGATTGCCTGGGACACTACTGACTCAGCAGCCAGCATAGTCACCTCTGCAGTGGCCGTAGACTCCCAGGACTACTGTGCAGTTTGAGGAGTGGAGGTGATTGAGGAAAGAGAGGGAGGATGGATGCTAGGAGGTGACTGGGATGTCATCCTTGAGCACAACCTCAAAATGATTGCTTCTGGTCTTCTAGCCTCTTAGAAGACAGGAAGACAAGTGTTACCACTTACACCTCTTGTCACCATCCTGGTATCCTGTAAGTGCCCAGCCAGGGAGAGTACCCCCAAGGACCTAGATTTCAGAGCAGAGGGCAGAATGGTTAAACTTCTCTCGACTTCGTTTACCACTCAAAAGAACATTCCTTTTATATTTCCAGACTTGAGATTTGTTTACCATCATTGTTGAAACAATGGCTAAGAGTACGGTACCAGTAGCAAGGGATAGTTAAGGGAATAGGAAATAAAAAAGTTTAAAAATACTGAAACAATGGCTAAGGGTACGGTACCAGTAGCAAGGGAAAGTTAAAGGAATAGGAAATAAAAAAGTTTAAAAATAGAGACTAGGAGGAGGATTAAATCCAGTAAATGAATTAAATAAATGTGAATCAGTATAAGTTAGTTGATTTCCATTCGATATCAGCAGTGCCTAAAATACAAATATCGAATGACTTCAAAAAAAATCCCAAAGTTTCTGATTTTTTTAGTTGATATTCTGTTGCAACCTTGTACTCCTGCTAGTGACTTTATGCTGTCAATTTATTTTTGTGACTCAGCCATTTTATCACTCAGATTTAGCAACAGAATTGACATAGCATTCTAAATTAGATGTAATGTTAGTGTTAAGTGAAATTATATCAGATTAGTTAAATGCTGTTTTTACTGACTGAATTACATGAAACATAGTATCTAGAGAAATCCTAGAATAAGTACCAGTAGATTGATTTAGAGGAAATTTCATTTTCAGACAATTATACAGCCTTGCTAACAGAAATAGAAGTATATAAGTAGGGGACACTTGTCAGAGCGAAAGGTTTCTTATCCCATGTTCTCTAGACTTCATTGTTGCTGGTAACTCAGAATTTACAAATTTTTGCACCACCTTCCTTACCTAGTTGCTTCCGCCATAAGGGAAGGGGAAAAGGCACCTTTAAAAAGTCACAAAAATATTAACCAAAGATTAACATTGCCTGGGGAGAGAGAAACAGAAGAAATTATATTTAAATAACCAGAAAGAAATGAAAAATTGCAGAATGGCAAAAATAGGAAAGAGAGTCTCCGAACTGCTCAGCTTTTGTTTAAAGTTAGGCTTCACCTTAAGTGCTTTACTGAACAAGGATGTGCTTAAACATATTGCTGATAGGGTTGCCAGATAGTTTCAAGAAAAATACTGGACACACTTTACATGACATCTTATTTAGAAAATACCGGACATTTATATTTTCTCAATTTGTTTCCCGAACAGTAAGCTCCAATACTAGACTGTCCAGTTAAAACTAGACACCTGACAACCCTAATTGCTGAATTGGGGCTGCAACCTCTCCCTACCACAAAGGTGGGCAAAATCAGGCTGGGGGAGGCAATTCAGGCCCTCCAAGCATTTCTTATAATCCGCAGCGTGTGTTCAGCTGCCCATCCCCCACCTTGCTCCATGTTGCAGCTGAGCTGCTCCCAGGATTTTCCTGCTAGCTGTGCAGAGGTGGGGGGAGAGCTGAAGTCAGGGTGTGCCCCTGTACCGCAGCTTTGCAGAGCAGGGATGGGGGGGGGAGACGGGCACACCGCGGAGTTGCTCCTATCTGGAGCATGGATGGTGACTCAGAGGAGTGAAGAGCAGGGGAAGGGGGGAAGCTACAGAGCGGGACGGCTTTCCCTCTCTTAGAGATAGCAGGCAGCTTCTCTCAGAAGCTTACCCAGCAGCATCCAGCACATACACTGTGTCACTGTCTCACACACTCAATCTGTGCCATACTGTCTCTGTGCCACGCACAGTCACTGTGACATACACACAGCCGCACACACTCAAACTGTGTCAGTCTGTCTCTCTCACACACTGTCTCTTTCACACTCACACTCTCTGTCTGCCTCAGTTATCCCCACCTCCATCCCTTCTGAGGGGCCTTGAGCCTGCTGGCGACTATGTACCAAAATTCAGGAAGTGGCCCCCCCTACAAAAATTATTGCCCACCTCTGCCCTAGCGGTATCTGTGCCACAAAAGAGGCTTAGTATAGGTAATCCTCTACATGTAATAATCTGTTTTTCATGCAAAAATAGTATATTTGAATGTGTTCTCTGCATTTGAACCTTTGTTTGTTTGTGCTGGTACCAAGTGAGGAGTGTAAAGGGAAAAAAATCTGAAATAAGCCTAAAACTTCTTTTTAAAAATGGCTGATATTTGTTATTCAGATCAAGTGCTTGAGAAATGTTGTGTGCAAGTTGACTGAGCAATGGTGAATGGGGAACATAATAATCCACAGCTATTGGAAGGGCATTGATTAACTCCAGCAAGGGAGAATAATTTATCTAGCATTATGTATGGAGGTATAAATAAATGGTAAGGTAACATTCTGAACGGGAGTCTGTGTCAGAAGAGCTTTTCTGACAGATGTGTCAGACTGTTATATTGTCAACCAGAAGAAATTGAGAAGTTTCAGTCTTGAATCTTTAGAGCTAGACTGGACAAATATATACTCTACATTGAGATGAAGATGAGCTGGATGACCTAATAGGGGTGTCTTATCTCTAATTTCTGTGGCTCTATGAAACAAAGACTCGAATGTTTGGGATGCAGTACTGTGTGTCCTGGATTCCTAGATACTATCCAGCATCACTGAATCTGAAATTACTTTTAACTTGGATACAGTTTTGGATATCAGATATTTTTCTATATCCATTTATGAAGCATCCGATGTCCAAATGGACTCAGCTTGATTCCAGTTTCTAACAGCAGTATGTAAGAGTGCACCACAGAACTTAGGCTTTTGACAGAGGGATGTAAATTAGGCACTTTAAAATTGCAAATGAAGCCAGGATTTGAATTTCCCGTGCTTCATTTACATAATCACGTAGTGGCGCTCTTTTGAAAAAGCGCTATTTCGAAAGTAAAACTGTGGTCTAGACATGGTTTTTTCAAAAAGGGAAGGCTAAAAAAATGAGGTTTACAGGATTTTTCAAAAAAGCCTTCCCTTTTCGAAAAAACCCGTCTAGAATGAGGTTTTACTTTCGAAATAGCACTTTTTCGAAAGAGCGCCATGACGTGATTATACAAATGAAGCATGGGAAATTCAAATCCAGGCTTCATTTGCAATCAAAGTGCCTAATTTACATCCCTCTGTTCTTAAATGTTCAGAATTTATACTAGTATTTGTTTTCCTGTGTGATTTCCATGTGGTTTTTGATGGAATTATTGAAACAGCCAGTATACAGCTTGCTAAAATGCTGCAGATACAGCTTTTTACACTTTTTAAGTTATGGATGTTTTCCAAGCTGCTACCTCCATTTTTTTGTGCATGCATTATATTTTTCTCAGTACAGTGTATATACAGGTCCTATTTATTATTTGTCTGATGACTCAAGTTTGTGTGGTGCCTTACATTTCAGTCTCTCTATTATAAATTGCTTAGAATCTTAGGATGTACAATGGAGTTGAACGCTAGGGTGAGACAAAGCAGAGTCAAAATTGATTAGCAATGACAAGTAAAGGTGTAAGGAAAGGTTTTAAGCAGGAGCAGGAAGACTTAGTTTTGTTTCTTATCTATAAAATACTCTTTCATATTTACTTTGTCTCTTATGTATTTTATAATGTTATTATATGCTTGACTATGGTTCTTTTTCCAGGTTGAAATTGGAAGAGAGAAGAAAAGAGTTAGTTCAGAAACTTGAAGAAACTACGAAGTTAACTACTTATTTGCATTCACAGCTTAAAAGGTAAGGCTGCATTTTACATTACATTTTAATAAGACTCAGAGAGGTAGCCGTGTTAGTCTGTATCTGCAAAAGCAACAAGGAGTCCTGTGGCACCTAAAGACTAACCGATTTATTTGGGCATAAGCTTTCATGGGTAAAAACCACTTTTTCAGATGCACAGAGAAAGAAAACATCAAGACTTGTTTTCAGCCGTGGTGCAGCAGAACTGATTATGTCTGGACTTCAGTCTTAGATTTTCTGCTAGATGGAGACTGAAACAAGTTTGTTTGAAAACTCTGCCAAGGCACATAGGTGCAGTTTCTTCTAGTAATCAGATTCTGTACAAATCTGCTATATCTATGTAACTTCACTAAGTGTACAAGAATAGATTTTTTTTTTTGCATGTTTTATAATCAGGCAAACAGCAAAGCATTTTCTTGCTTCAAAGAAAAACAATGGTTAGCAACCATCTTCAGTACATCAGGTGTCTTCAGAACTCTCTTGTTCCTAATGAAAATCCTTTGGATTCTTTAGGTATGACTGCATCTATAACCTTGACTGCACAAACATCAGCTTTTATTACCGTTGCATGTACATCTTCATAAACATTAATGTAAACAGTTTGTTCTGACCTTTTTCCTTTTCAATTAATTTCTTTTTTCCAGAAATAAAATGTTTGTTCCAGAGACAACCACAGCAACATTTTGCCCCATAATTCATTATTTTTAAGTCTTATTTTATGACATTACGTTATTGGATATGACAATATTGTGATTTTTATAGTCCTGACAGAGGGCTACCTACTGAACAGAGGATTTAAAGACAAATTCACTGCCCTGACAGGGATTAATTTAAGTACCTATTGTCACTGCTATAGGGATAGCATCCCCCGTGTGGTCTCTGAGTGTATCCCTTCAGGCCTCATTTACTACTGTGTGCGGGTGGTCATGTCTATAGTAGACTAACAACATAATGGGGTGTTTGTGCTTTCTTTGCAGCCTCTCTGCCAGCACGTTATCTATGTCTTCAGGGAGCAGCCTGGGATCTCTGGCATCCAGTCGGGGATCTCTCAACACATCCAGCAGGGGGTCACTAAACTCTCTCAGCTCCACGGAACTCTATTATAACCAAGGCGATCAAATAACAGACTTGGACTATCAGTATAAACTTGACTACATATTGCAAGAAAAGTGTGGTTACATTCCTTCTGGGCCCATCACTACTATTCATGAAAATGAAGTGGTCAAGTCCCATGGGAGACTGCGTTACAATGACTCTTCTGGATCTTTGGCAGCAGGCCATGCTCCAAAATTGACTGAGCCACCCAAATCTGTGACATCGCTATCTTCAAGATCTTCCCTTTCTTCCTTGTCCCCGCCAGGGTCTCCTTTGGTTTTAGATGGGGCATTTTCAGTGTCTGCCCAAGAGTCCCCCCTGCACCATCTCATAACAGACTTTGAAGACTGTGAATTGCCTGGTGATTTTGCAGGCATTAGTCTCTGTGAGAACCGAATGTCATTGGACTCTGAAGCCAGAGCAACGTCACAAGTTCTTACAGATGAAAAAGATCTCAATGAAAGTGTTAGGCAGCCTTTGTCAACTTTACGTGAAGGAAATGCAGGTAAAGAAATAATTGTAATCTCAAACCTCTCTGTAACAGACAAAAATTATTAACTACAGTTCTGACATTGAAATCAGTAGTACAACTCCCTTTCAGTTAATTTAACCTGGAAATATTCAATTATTCTTTTTTTATTGGTTAAAAAAACCAAGTTGTGGAAATCTACTCAAAAAATGTCCAGGCTGAAGCTATCCAAACACTAATATTCCTGCACTCTGAGGATTTTTTACAAGCATCGGGATCTATAGTCTTCTTTTGCAAAACACCAATCATACTGTGTTGTGATTTTGAGGCCCAGGAAATTTTTCCAAGAAGAATTAAAAAATAGAAAAACAGAGAGAGGCAATTAGCATGCAGTTGCATTACTGAGCAAATTAATAGTTGGGATTCAGTAACCACTGTATTGGCTGTTTAAGTCGAACCTCTCTGGTTGGTGAATCTCTGGTCTGGCAACATCCATAATCTCTGGACCAGAAAGCCCTGGGTGTTGAGAGCAGGAGAGGGGGTTGGAGTTGTCTGGGAGGCTGGTGGCAGAGGAGCCAGCAGCCCCAGGAAGGAAGCCTGACTTGGAGAGCCCTGGCTTCCCCTGTTTGGGACTGGTCAAGTCCCAAGGGTGTTGGACCAAGAAGGTCCAACCTGTAATATGTTTGTTTTCAGTTCTGTATGAAGAGCTCTGCTTGTTTAAGTTTGATAGGGGAGAGTTATCTTTGATGTACAGTATTGCCCTGCCATCTTCTGGCCAAAATGTTAAGTTGCTGTGCTGCTTGGGTTTCTTCCTTACTGCTTTTGTTACTTTGTACTCTGAGACTTAGGAGAAGATCTCATACACATTAGGGATGTGCTAGTTTGAACCCTTAAACAGTTGACCGATGAGCCTGGGCTCATCAGCTAACCTTCACAGTTACATGCAAGGCTCCCCCACCCCCAGCGCTGCTGCCTCTGTATCAGAGACAGCAGCGTGGGGGGAGCAGGAGGGAGCTGGAGCTTTTAAGCAGGCTCAAGACAAACACCAGCTCCCATAGAAACATCTTCCTCCTCCTCTTCCCCCCCCCCCCCCCCCCCCCACACTGCTGCCTCTGGAAAGCACAGGGAGTTGGACGGGTAGGCAGCTCTGCAGGAGCTGGTGCTCGTGGGGAACTGACTTAAAAGCCAGCTCCCCATGAGTTCTGGCTCCCACCTGTCTCTATCAGAGGCAGCAGCATGAGGGAAGGCTGAGTGAAAGGTGGGGAGGGGAGGGGCACTCCAGTCCCCAGAGCAGCCATGGGGGCCAGAGGGCCAGGTCTGGCCTGCTACAGACAGGGGCTGCTCTGTCAGCTGTGGGAGCTGCTTCTGCCCCTACCAGTGAACAGGTAAGTCTCACCTGTTAAGAGTGAGGCTTATCTGTTAACTGATTAACCATTCACATCCCTACTATGTGGGAGAGCTAGGAACACAAGCCAGAGTCTCTTGAGTCCCAGGCCTTAGTCATAAGATCATCAGTTATAAAACACCTGTAACTATTATTCTTCAATATATATGGGCAGATTCCCACTTGGAACTAGAGGTGTAATTTCCAGCTTGGGGATATAGCAGTGTAGCTGTGGTAGTGCACACAGGCAGTGGGACAGGTTAGCCAGTCTGAGTGCAGTCCTATCCTGGACCTTTTGTGGACACCCAAGTCACCACAGATATTATTAGCATACCAGCTAAATCAAATCGCGTGCTGCGTGTGTTTTCCCTACTTAAAAATTACAGCTTCCCTCAGTGTTGGTGTGTCCTGTGTTACTTACTTTAATTGTCCTCATCACACTTTCCTTGGGAGAGCACCCTCCCATCCTTGCCTTTTAGTGCAGATTTAGATTTAGAGACTCGCGTGTCTCGCAGGCCCAGCTGTGTGAGGGCATTTCTGAGCTGAAACATAGAGCATGGTTTTTAAAAGGGCAGCATTTTTCTTGTTTTTAAAAACAAGTTTTAGTAATGGCTAGAAGATTTACCTGGCATTGCTTTCCATGCATATCCCCAGCTGCCCCTATGTAGTTATTATATAGCAGAGCCCTCCCTTTCCCTTTCTGTTTTATGAGAAACAGTCCCATTCCAGGAACATACCATTACCCTGGCACAACCAAACTCTTATCTTGCTTTAAGTTAGGATAAGAGAAAGCTGTATACCAAATTGGGTGATCCTAACTCTTACCATTTAGGAGGAGTTTCTTGAACAGACAGACACACTCACAGACAGATAAATGCTCTCAGATATATTGTATTTTTAAAAGACTATAGAAAAATAAGTAACACAAAAAATAAACCTCAACACAGTGTGACTGACAGTCTCGCTGGCCTCTGGGCAAGGTGGTAAGGGGCCCAACACATGCTCCTGGAAGGGGTGTGGCCTTAGGTGGAAGGGGTGAAGCTGGGGATAGTTTCCTATAGGCAGCCTTGCCACTACCGGGAGCATACTTCGCCTACCCCAGGCAACCCTCAACACTTCCCAGAGCACGCCATATAGGGCTCCAGTGGTGACTTAAAGAGCCTGGGGCTCCAGCTGCTGGTGCAGTAGTTACAACAGCAGCTGGGAAGCTCCATGCCCCGGAGCAGTTGCCCTCTTCCTCGCTCCCTCCCCGGGCCTCAATATACCTAAGGTTTACATTGTTGAAAGTCTGTGTAAGCAAGTTATTGTCCCTTTCATTCACATTCTTCCAAGAGATCAAATCCATCACCCTAAGTGATGTTCAGATAGGAAGATATAAACATGAGCACAGTGGTCTTTTTGTACTGGGGATATAATTTCCAGGATTCATATTCTGCTTTCCCTCAGACATATTCTACTAATCTGCATGTATGGATGTGTCCTTGTTATCACTGGTAAATAGTTGTTGGGTTAGCCCTGAAAAACAGCAATTGTATCACTCCCCATTCAGTGTTGTAGAATAATAATTACCCTATTTTGGCGTTAGGTACAAACATAAATCCTCAAATATCATTAACTTGCACATTTATCTGGTGTTTGGGTCCTTCACTCAATTAAAGTTGGCTTTGTGGGCGGGATGATTTGGAAAATAAAAGGAAAATGTATATGCTTTATTTGGATGATTATATTTTTTAAAACAGGGAATCAGAACAAATTGAACAGCTTGTCTGCAGCCTGTGCTTCCCACCCAGAGTAAAGGAATGCAGCAAACTGCACTTTCTCCTCGCTTCCTGATGAAAAGGAACAGCCAGAAATGTCCCTGATACAAATCAGGAGAAAGGGGAGAGCTTCAGGCCCCTCCCTTCTAAAGGGTGCCTCAGAGATGCAAGGTTTGGGGCTGGGGCAGTCCTGGATACAGTAGGAGGAGAGCATACCGCCAGCCATCTCCTTTCATTTGTCCGTTGATTGTCTCTTTTTTTGTATGGTTTTATGAGAAGCAATCCCATTCTAGGCACATCCCATTTTCCTGATACAGCCAAACCCTTACCTTGCTTTACATTTTGATAAGAGGAAGTTGTATACCAAATTTGATGTTCCTAGCCCCTACCTTTTAGGAGGAGTTCTTGAACAGTTTGTCTATCTCAAATATATAGTAGATTACATAAATTCTATTATTACATATGTTAGGTCTATGAATGCTGTTTTCTTACCATTCTTCCCCTCCCATCTGCTAGTTATTGTGAACCAAAATTATGTAAATTTTCAATTGCTTGTATTTTTCTAAAAGAACACTTAGCCAACATGGTGAGCCAGTTGGTTCCTAATTAAACATTTCAGCCCCTAAGTTGACATTTAATTGCCTGTCCATAAGTATTTAGGCATCTAAGTACTAATTTTGTTGTCCAAATGCATAATGCAGTGGTGCCCAATTTATATGCCCAAATGTGAAAACTGGGGCCACAGACCCTGTCATTTGTGTGTGGACATTACCAGCAAGGAGCACCTGGATAAAACACCCAAAATAATACTTTTTTAAAAAGGAAAGATATTTTAATTCTTTCTATTTTATGTGAATGAATATATTGCAACATCTTTTTGAATGGTTCTATTGTGCTAAGAATTTCAGTACTTTCCAGTTCACAGCATGGGGAGCCAGCAGGGGACTGCATCAGGTGCTCAGTATACTTGGGGACTTCCTTTAATTATGCACAGAAAGAGATACCCGAAGTTGACTAAGAACTTTTCTACTCCAATAAATAGCTATTGCAGAATTAGTGAATTAAGCTAACCCACATGCAGGCATTCTTAGTGCGGAGTAAGGGTGCCCATATAAGGAGCTGGTGCAGTACTTATTGTGCTTTAAATTCTCACCTTGGTTGGTTGGTTGTTTTGGCTGGTTGGCTGGTTGGCTGCGCCACAGTTTTCCTGTGTAGACAAGTGGTAAAGGCCACATATTCTGTATCTGTGAAATGCAACATTAGAGCTTGACATTATCTTTACTACTTGCTGTCCTGTGCCTTTTCAGTGTGATGGAACTTACTGTTCTCTCTACTTCAGAAGCCTCTCAACATCTCATGTAAGATAGGGAGAAATAAATTCAATTCAGTTCATCAGTGGCCAGATCAGTCACAACCAATTTTTTAAAAATACCACTTAGTTGTAACAACTAATGTTATATTATTTTCAGTGCTCGAACTGTTCACAAAATCCAAGTGTGTGGTGGGAATGAAGAGACAGGTGTGGAAGGCGGGCATACAGTGACTCCTGAAATATTCAGGGGGCCTGGTTTTGCTGATCTGAAGAAATGAAGCTTCAAATGTTTTGAAGGGGTGATACAGGTCTGCAGAAAAAAGCTGTTAATTGTAGCTATCGTTCCTGATAATCTCAGAGGAGTACCATGTTAGTCTGTATCTGCAAAAATAATGAGAAGGACTGTGGCACATTAAAGACTAACAAATGTATTTGGGCATAAGCTTTTGTGGGTTAAAACCACTTTGTCAGATGCATGGAGTGGAAATCACAGGGGCAGGGATATACATGGTGGTCCCCAATTTATATGCCCAAATATGTATCCCTAACTCTGTGATTTCCACTCTGTGCATCTGATTGCATGGATTTTGCCTCTGAAATGTTATGCCTAAATAAATCTGTTAGTCTGTAAGGTGCTACAGGACTTCTCGTTGTTCTTGATAGCGCCGCTGTACCTTTAATTCTAAAAACATTTACATTTTAAAAAAAGCAACAGATGGAGTTAATCCTTATGCTGAAATTTCCTATTATTGATATATATAGTGCCACGTGTATAAATGGAAAACAAAAAGTATATTTAAAAGTTTTCATTAAAAATGCATTAAGGTTGTAACATCAAGCACTCAAAAGTTTGGAAATGCCAGATACAATTAACTTAGCCCCTTTGCGTGTCTGTATTATGTTAGTCTTTCATTACATGATCATGTACATTTTTTTTCCAGAGAATCCTTGCCTCATTTGGTTCACAGGATGACTGGTGCTCTGGAAAAATATCAGGGCTGTGTAATGAATAAGGCTGTTGTCTATAGGACACCTGTGGTTGGCAGGAGCAATTGTAGGGAGCATTCTGCTCAGCCCTGGGATAGAGCATGCTAAGTAGCAATGTGAGGATGGGCCATGTCAGGATAGGGTTTTCTCACTACAGATGGAATAGTCTGAGACCAGGTCTAGACTAAAACTTCTATTAATATGACTCTGTTGCTCAGGGGTGTGAAAAATATACTCTTCTGACCAGTGCATTTATACTGACTTAACCATGGGTGTAGAAAGTACTAAGTTGATGGGAGAAGCTCTCCCATCAACATAGCTATTGCCTCTCGCAGACTCAGATTAACTATGCTGAGGGGAAAACTCCCATTGGTGGTGAAGCATTTTAAGATTTAGCTGCCAAATTTTAACAATATCATGTGCAAACTGCAGTCTTTTTTATAGCCTTTTCATTTGGTCTAATTCATGTGGATTTTCACAAAGCAGCAACACCATGACACCTCCCCCTGCACACCATATTCAAGTTAATGCTCCAGAGCACCAAAGTATTAGAGTTCCTCAATGAATTGGTTATAAGAAGTTTCTGAATATGGGCAAAGCCATTTTTCCCTTAATTTCAGCTTTGGAAGTCTCTCTTTTAGATGAAACTTTCCAAAAAATTGCATCTGAGGCAGACATCTTACATGGAAAATTTCAACTTAAATGGTTTAAAGTATTGTAAGCAACTGAAAATAGGGTTGTATAATAGAAAGCCAATAAAGTTAACTATAGATGGTGCTACCAGTGCTACTTATTACAATACAAAACTTCTCTTCAGATAAAGTGACTCTGTACTTGTCTCTTGTAGGCTCTTCTGTGTAGCAGAAATATGTATATATTTACTGTCCTGGACAAGCCTCTCCCTGCAGCAACCAGCTTGGAATAACCATGACATTCTTGCACATTCAGTCTCTCTCATTGTCAAAGTCAATGTCAGGCTGCCATGGTTATTTCTGGGGGTAATCAATAAATCCTGTCATCACCTTCACTCCTCACATGAGTGGAGGGGGCAGCACTTCATCAAGGAAAAAGCATCCCTTTTGCCACAAATAAAAGCAGAAATTTAGCAATCAATCATCTAATCGGAAGCCTTAAAATTTTAACTTCTTAACAAGATGTAAAGTCATGACTCAGGGTGTGTGTGTAATGCATACCAATATACTTTGCAGATTTAAAAAAAAAACCTCCATAGGCCTGCAACTTATTACGTGGCAAAATGATCCTTTCAAGTGAATGCTGTGTATTCACTGCAGGACACTAGCATATGAATATGACTTGGAGGTTAAAATCAAGTGGTAGCTGATGCTAAAGGTTCTCTAGTGTAAAAAGTTGTTGCTGATAATATGAATCATTCCTTTGCTAAACCAAATAAGAGTTTGCTGAGGAGAAATCCTGAAGCTTCTATTTCATTTCTGTATATTTAATATAAACCATAGTTATCAGCATTGATTTTGTGTAGGGCTGGAATTTTATAACAGTAAGAATTTAAAGCTGGAAATGTAAGTTCAAGTTAAAGATTAATAACGGTAAGAGAAGCCTTGTTTGGGAAGGGAATAATGGTCATACATTTTCAAGCTCATCAGTTTAGATATGTAAATCCCTAACTAGAATATACGACGATAGTAATACATCCTGTATCTGTTCAGGGGGGTGAAACAGAATTACTCCATGAAATTGAGCTAAGGGGTCATCATTTTCAACTTTTCAGTGTTCTAGGCTGTGCAGTAATCCTGCTGATAATTGTCTAGCACTAATTTTTATTCTTCTCCCTTGCTTAGGTGTCGACTTACCAAGAAGAGCAGTAAGTCAGCTACTTGAGGAGAAAGCAACTTGTGTATCTGCTGCAGTGTCTGATGAGTCTGTGGCTGGAGACAGTGGTGTATATGAAGCTTCTGTAAAACAGTAGGTTTAAGAAACTGTGTGACTTTTTAACTGAAATTAGCAGATTTCTGTCCTGCCCATTCACCCATTTGCAGAATAATTTAGAAAGTACAGGCAGTCCCCGACTTACGCAGATCCGACTTATGTCGGATCCGCAGTTACGAACGCGGCTTTTCTCGCCCCGAAGGATACGGACTGCGGGACCTTGCGGTCCCGCCGCCCGTGTACTCCGGGGCGAGAAAAGCTGCTCCGTGTCTCCCTGGTCTGTAGACCAGGAAGACGCGGAGCAAAGCCGCGGTGGGGCTCGGGCAGCCGGGTACCCCAGGCGCGCCTGGGCTGTCCCGCCGCCGGCTTCCCCCGCAGCTTTGCAAAGCCGCGGAGGGGCTGGGGCCGGGGGCCCGGGGCCCCGGACCCCACGCG